TTAGGGAAAAAAATATGGAGACAAAATATTTATGAAATTGAGGAAAATAAAGAAATAAAAGAGCTGCCGACGAACAGCCGGGCCAAGGTGACTCGAGTGAGCAATGTGACCCATGGGCCTCTTGTTAGTAAGACAACATATTGGTCTTACATGTATCTCTTAATTTTTTAATTTGTAAATCATTTTCTTTTAATATGTTTTTAATAAATTTTGAGTTTTTTTTTTTTTGCATTAGATTTAAACATATCACTATTTATTTCTTGATTTGTGACCAAAAAAGTGTATAACTACAGTTTTTCTTTCAAACAATTTGGCAAAAGTTCAATTAATGTAGATAAGAGTAAATATTAAGGTATCTGACTTTAATCATTTTAAAACAACCAGTATAAGACACGAACATACATAACACTTATAATCACAAGATACAATAGCTACCCTCGTGATGGCGAGATAAAAATAGATAATACCCTCCAGTGTTTACCCCCAATAACAACAGCATGAAGACATTGGTGGGGATCTCTGTTGTTTTGTCCCTCTGGGGGACTGTGACGTCACACCTCTGTCTGGTCACTCCCACACAGCGAGGGGAAATGGACATACACCAGGTCAGATTAATACAAGTACTTTAATTATTTTATACAACGCCCTTATGAGGATACAAAAATTAGCAAAACATTTTACACTGAACATCGTCAATATATGCACCGGTATTATAATATGGATATCATGTTCATCAAAAGAAATGTTTATTTCTTTAAGTAAAAACAAACTTTACTGTTTGTAGAGTGGAAGTTCGACTTGTTTCCGTCACGGCGCCCCGTGTGGAGGGGAGAACCCCACCCAGGGACCTTATGAGACCTATACTGGGGGCCAACAGGTGTTCATTAAATGGCTGCAGAATTTTAACCATTATGAAATCGGATATCCGGGTAAGGAATCCATTGGTTTTACATATAACTGTTTAATTGCATTTCTGATTTTGGTATGATAAGATACTTCATGGTTAATATTTCTGGGTCTATACTTTTGTTGCAAAAGATATAAATAATAAAATTCTAAAATATTATGAAATTGTAAACCTTGTGAACCTGTGAATAATTTTATAATTATCTGCAGCTAGAATTGTTACAGGACTTCCAATTTTTGTGTCAAGAGAAATACTTTACTCTGAAACTGGCTGGGAAACATTGAAAGTTAGGCGCTATAATGCAAAAATGACCACGATGTACAAAATTCATAATGGTAGTGTACCTGAATATTTGAATGACATTGTTCCAAACAAGCGCGAAAACATTTCAAAATATAATACCCGTAATAAGGAACAATACGCTGCCCCAAGATGCAGATTAGAATTATATAAAAGATCTTTTATTCCTGATGCTGTGAAACAGTGGAATTTATTGAAGATAGAAACAAGGAAAGCTATCTCACTCAATGCGTTTCGAAAAAACTTAACTACAGAAGTAAAAAATCCCCCAATCTATTTTTCATTTGGCAAACGTTATACAAATATAATCCATACTAAACTTAGACACAACTGCATGTATACTTAATTATGATTTACACAAAAGAAATATTACTAATAGCCCTTTATGTTCATGTGGAAAGTATGAAGATGTTTATCATTTCTTTTTTGCCTGCAGAAATTATCCAAACGCTAGGAATAATCTTTTTAATCGCCTATTTTTACTTGACGAATTGGTCAA